TTATTATAAATATTTATAGTTCTGTTTTACATATTTTATATCAATAACTTGACAGAAAGATAATAATTACATTCAGTGAACAACCAAGATTAACAACATTCATACATGATAGGGCAAGTGAGATCATTTATAAAAACAGAAGTTGCTAATGCCTGTTTTCATTGTTCAATATTGTAATATTCAGCAGACAAAAGCATCAGAATTTAATTTTTTTTTTTTATACTATAATTTTTTAACCATCTTCAACAATTTTATCATTTATAAAATCATTTTCAAATTATCAAAATTAAATTAAATGTTGGAAGCTCTGAACTATGAAATAACAAATATAAATAAATAAATTATATATATATATATATATATATATATATATTCTTATGTCACAAAGAAATATAAGGTAATATAATATATTGTTTTCCAATTATAACCTATTAATATAAAAGTTAATAATATTTAAAATAATTAATTATTACATAACAAAAGAGTTATATCTATTTTTTACTTTTTAATTTCGTAGGAAGTCTAATTTATTTTTTTAACACGATTTCCAAACATATCAATTTATTTTTCTACTTAGTGACGTTCCATAACATCCTGAATACCACAATAATAATATTGAACATCATTTATAATTATATAATGAATTATTGAAGGAGGCTAGTCAACTGTTCTACATACCATGGATGATAAATATTCAGGACGCAGTTATTATAAAAATGTTTTATTTATGCCGACGTTTCAACCCAAACTTGAAGGACTTGAAAGCCTTCAGTGCTCGAACCACTTCCTGATGATAACTCCCCACATGCTTGGGTTGAAACGTCGGCACAAATAAATAAATTTTTATAATGACTGCGTCCTGAATATTTATCAACCATGATAATTATATAAATGTCAAAAAAGAAGAAAGCAACATTTGTAGAACTTATTTTGTCCTTAACTCTATCAGAATAGAGATAAGACAAGTTGAGCTAAGGATAAAATACAAAACATGTACTACAAATGTTGATTTCTTAATGTTTGTTATATACATAATTGCAAAGGAAGTGTAATATTACTAATGTGATAATCAGAAACTTTTGATAATAGGGATACAGCCCCAAAATGTAGCAGAAAACAAGTTTAACAAGTACAAAAACAAATTCATACATTGGAAGATCTTGAAAGGAAAAATCTCTCAAGAAAAAATTGTTTTATTATGTTGGAGGAAGAGAAATAGATTTAGTTCCAGGCACAAGAGATATTTTTCATCTTAATATTTACCAAGAATATAAAAATATATTTCTTTAAAATTAATGAAATCAAACCTATACTTATGTTTTTCTTTCTGTTATTAGTATAAAATAAATTATTTAATCCAAGAAAAAACTTTTCTCTTTTAGAGGTCCTAAAATAATAGGATTAAATATTTTACTAAGTTTCATGGCCTTTCACCTAGTTAAATACTTTTATTAATAATATTTCATTAAATCGTACATTGAATTATTTGCATAAACTTCTCATAGGCTTGGCATTGTTTATTTATAGCTATGTTGTCATTCAAGCATTAATATCTGCCCTCTGTTTATCATTTTAAGAGTGATACTTACATTAATAATTAGTAGATTGTATGAAATTTCAATCACAATTAATAGTTCTTGTTTTTTCATTAACTAAATAGCTATATATAGAGCTGAAATTCAACATTGGTCTTCTATGAATTAATCATTGGTATTAAAAATTACAATTAAGCCATATTAGATTTAAAACCAAAGTACTTTAAACTTAATAAAAATCAAAGTTAAAAAAACAACTTTAAATAATTAACCAAATGAAATATTAGGGGGGCCTGAAAGTAATGTCGTTTTCTTACATTAAATTCAAACACATAAATTTTTAACTATACTTTATTTTTGATCAATGATGAAATCACTCTGATTATAAACAACCTCTTGCCATCTAGTGTGCATATTTTCAATGCCAGATTGATAAAAATCAATTGGTTACTGAGCAAAATATATAAAAATGGCATTTTGGATATCATCCAAATTGGCAAATCTTAGCCAGTTAGAAAGTGGAGAAGCGATCGGAATAAATAAAAATCCGATGGTGCAGCATCTGATGAGTATGATGGAAGAGGCAGTAACTCCCACCCCAATTCATTAATTTCTTCACAAGGTTTGTTTAACACAGAGAAGTCTTGCATTATTGTGTCGCAGAATAACGTCTTTTCTGTTGACAATAGTTGGCCAATTTCCAATTAAAGATTGATTTATCAGATCCAGTTGTTAACAGTCAAGGTCTGCATTCACTGTTTGTCCAGGTTTCAGCACTTCAAAATAAACAACATTGCGAATCCACCAACTAACACACAAAAGGGTCTTTTTGGGATATAAAGTTGGCTAAACAGTACTTTGTAGCAATTCATTTGGAGATAGCCACTATCTTTACCCTTTGGGATTAATATAGAGGATCCATTTTTCATCTCTGGTGATCACGTGATCAAAAATTGCTTCAGTATTGCGCCATTGAAGTAATACGTTGCTTGTGGTGGCTTCCCAATCTGCTGCATATGGTCTTGGATGGTAGACCAAAGTTGGTTGAGACTGTTTAACAATTCCTCCATTGTCTGACACGGATTTGCTTCTACTTTTGTTCTTAACATGTTATTGTTCAACGTTGTTGGTCTTCCTAATCGATATGAGTTTGAAAGATCCTAATTACCAGATCTGAACTTGGAAATCCAACTTAGATATTCATGAACATCTAAATGCATTTGGATAAACATCCTCCCTTAAAGCTGGTTCTAAATTAAAACTAACACCTTGGGTGAAAAATAAGCCAACACACTATAAGTTTCAAACAATGTTAGTATCAGACAAAGCAAAGTCAATGTCAATGTTGAAGTCAAGAATAAATTCCATAAATCAAAATATTCTAAAAAAGGCTTAAATCCCAAATCCGCTTTTTTGTGATTCTGGGCCAGACATATTAAAATATTTGATAAAAAATTTCTGGATTCTCTTTGGTCATTGAATCACATGAAGTGAGAGAGACAGAGTTCAAGCTGAAAAATGATTGAATGAAGAGAATAAAACTACAATGAAGAATGAGAGATAAACTGTGAAATCATTTGACAACACTAACCAAGTACAGGGACAATCAGTTATCACCAGAAATTTGAAAACACTTCTTTTTGAGGGATTTGTTCAGAATTAGGGTATATTAAAACAATAAATGAAATAACAAGTTCATCAAGGCTAACAATGCAAAAATAAAACAGAAAAGGCAACAATCATGAACTCAATGGGTTTGTCTGCATTAATTTAACATAAAGAAGCACCTTAATACTAAAGAATAGAAAAATAAAAAATCAAGCATTTGGCTATTACACACCTAAAAATTACAAAGCCAAAGAGAGAAAAAAAAAATGAAAACTGTACATCAATCAAACTCTTAATGCAATAACAATTAATAATGCATGCCTGCCACTTGCTTTGTAATAAATTAAAATTAAAATCATTCCCAAAACATAAATAAAATACAAGAGACATTTAGAAGTTCATATTATGCTCTGGACAGGCTTAAATTTAAATAATTAACTGAGAATAAAGCTAAGATTACTTGGAGAAAGAACAGTGAAAGCTATTATATTATGAATGACTAATCATAAAACAATCAGGGGTTTATTGAGTAATTATAATTACAATTAATATTAAGCAAAAGTTTCAAAGTATAAAAATATTCCATTAAAGGAAGTATAACTGAGCATAATCCGAAACAAATCAACTTTAACGAATGATTGACTATATGTAACTTTTAAAATATGTATAGATTTATTGTTATGTAATTTTATTATAATATAATATTATATTTAACTTAATTTTTTAAAAAATTTTTAAAATTTAAATTTATCATTACAACAATATAAATCAGGATAAATTAATTTCATTGATGATATAATGAAAAGATAAACACAGGTCATTCTTATTCTAGCATAAAATGTTTACTATCATTTCCAGCTAATGAACGCAAGTTCAAAAATTTTACTTCTAGTTTATAAAAAAAAACAAGAATTATATATTTTTTTAAACATTGTTCTGGCAAACAACCAAGAAGGAATATAAGGTTTAAATTCAATAAGCATCTCCATCTCAGAACCAAAAATATGACTTTTAATTTCAGCTAAACAGAACTTGAAGTTGCTAACCAACATTACAATAGTTCAACTGACATTCTTAAAATATAGTTGAGAAAATAAGAGAAGCATTCTGTTTACATAAAATAAAAAATGTGTTTTAAATATTATTCATAAATTTACTTTATAAACCCAAATCAAGTTAATAAAAAGATAAAAGAAATCAGCATATATCATCTCTAATATTTTTATAAAATTATAAATTACAAGCCAAAAAGATTAAGTAATTTTTTAGATGAAGTGAATCTCATTAGATACAAAAGTTATGCTGATATGAACACAGTAACTATTAGAATAAAACACTGTCATATAAAATATTCTAAATTAAAAATTATACATTAAACAAATATTTTTCCTTCAATGTTAAAATTCTGATTCTGACATCTGTCACAAAAATAAAACTTTAAAATAATCAATAAAACAAAGTATGAATTAGAATAATTCGTAACACTTTCACTAATAATAACAGTGTCAACTATGCCATAAAAACACTTTTTCTAACTTTTAACTACACAATACTACCACACAATTAAAACTAAAACCTATATTAAATTAAAAGTGAGTTAATTTATAATAATTATATTCAATATATTATAAACGACTAGAAACTTTAGATTTTTTTTTTTGTGTTTAATTCAAGAACATCTGTCAATTTATGAATAACACATTTAATAAATATGTTTGAAAATAATGGAATTATAAATTTAAATATAAAACAACTGAGGATAGTGCAATATCAATGGTAAGGTTCTTGGGTGACAGAATATTCTAAAAGACCTGGCCGGAAAAACCGTACCTGGAGAGTGGTGACAGTGGAATGTACCTGAAGCGACCAGTAGGATGGTGGATGGGTCCACCAAATCTTCTAGCTGCTTGTGGAGTTAAATATGCTGCCAGTGGGGGTAATGCCTTGTTATTGTTACTAGGATTGTTCGCAAATTTTACTGTTATTGGCTCTGTTGATCCTTTCGGAATAGTACCATTCAATTCTTGTATGGCTCTTTCTGCTTCAATTCGTTGGTCAAATCGAATAAATCCTACACCTTTGGATAGACCTAAAACAAATAATGATTGATAATAATAAATAATAATAATTAATTTTATAGATCTAAAGCATAAAACTTATAGCAATGAGTTGACTTCCAAATTAACAAAATTATAATGGAAAAAAATACTTTTTCAAAAGTTCAAAATAATAAATTAAAACAAAATAATAAGTTCAAAAGACTTCCCCAATTCAAAAATCTTCCCTTGATTCCTCTTCAACCCTTCCCCCTCATCCTGATAACAGGCATTTTAGTTTTATTCTATGATAAAAATAATGACATAGTTCATTGATAGCTGTTACATTTTCTGCATAAGACCTTCTTTTTTACACCATCGAAGACAGAGCAGGAGTTAAGGAATTAGACCATTTCTTACTACTTTAAAAATTAAAAAAAACATACAAAACGAATACTATGTATTTATGGTATGTAAATGGCTGAGATGTTACAGTGCCACTTTATATCACTGATTTTATACATTTTTCACGAAAAATGTTTTAACGATTTTAATAAAATTCATTACATCAGTGTAAAATTAAGCAGTTTTTGATATAAGGCAGGTCTTATTCTCATTGATGTTCTACAACAGAGCTTAAATGCCTTATTTTCAAAATTTCTTATATAATATGCTACAAAAAATGATTAAATAAAAAGGAGTTAGTTGAGGGTGCGGTCAAATAATTAAAAAAAATTAAAATATATAAATAATTTTAATTTTTGCCGACGTTTCGACCCACTTTGCAGGTCGTCTTCAGGGCTACAAAAGATACAAACATGTTGAAAAAATAAAAATAAAATAAAAAATAAATATAAGTATATATAAATCATGAAGAAGTTGTCAGATACAGAAATGAAAGATAAATAAAATAAAATAAATACATGATAAGAAAATAGATAAAAGAAAATAAATACATGAATGTTAACGAATAAATAGATTGAAAATTGAATAACTATTGTTACAGTAAAGTTAAAATATGGATAAGATAACATAATAATAAGATATCAGTGGATAACAAGCAAGTGGAGGTTACCTTTAATTGTAAATAAACAGATAACGGGACCAAAGGTTAAGAAGTGAAGAAATTGAAAGATTAATAGGGTAACATTAGTGTAATATTGTTGAGATAGATTATTAAGTATAAATAACTCTATAAGAAAACAATAATTTTAAAAGAATACTTTAAAATGTAAGAATAAATGTAAAAACAAGGTTATGATGATAAAGAAACAAAAAACAGGTTGTACTATATATAGATGACAATTGACATTTAGTTTTTTGAAAGAGGTAATGGAAGTATGAAGACGACCTGCAAAGTGGGTCGAAACGTCGGCAAAAATTAAAATTATTTATATATTTTAATTTTTTTAATTATTTGACCGCACCCTCAACTAACTCCTTCTCATATCATATCAACGGTCAACCATCTCTACATGATTAAATAAAAAATATGAAAGGATTTGATAATTAACTAAAGGAGAAATAAGGGATTGTAACGGAGAATAGTAGTAATAGATAGATCGAAGATACCCGAGCTCGGCCGAAAGGTTAGAATAGGCTCCCATATGTGTGTGAATAAGTTTCTGCTGTTTTTTATCTACAGAATTTTTTTTACCCACATATATCAGGCAACACTGAAACCAACTTTATTCAAGAGGTGATCTTTTACACTCGGATTATCATTCTATTATAAATCCTTAAAGTGTAAATAAAGTTGTTCATATCTCTTCAAACATGGAGAATTTCAAACCCTCAAAACCGTTTTAGCGGGGAATTTTATTACACTACTTTTTTCAAATGAAAACTGCAGCTGAAGGGCATAGAATTATTGTAGAAAATTACAGCAATCGTGCTCTATCAGAAAAAACATGCAGAGAATCGTTTCAACACTTTAAAAACAATGATTTCAATCTCGATGATAATGACTGTCCAAGTGCTGCAAAAAGAAAAAACAAAACAAGCTGCTTCAGCCATGAAACCATCACAGTAGACTAAAATTGATGTGTTTGAGCCAATTTCATGTTGCGAATCCATTCAAAACTTATTTGGGAAACATTGAAAAGGAAAGTTCTGTAGCACAAGTATTCACCAGAAATTGCTCCTTTCGACTGCCACTTGTTCTGATCGCTGACTCACGGTCTGGATCAGCAGCGCTTTCATTTTTTTGATAAAAATAAAAATGTGTTGATGACTGGATTACCTCAAAAGACATATCTTATTTTCAATGTGGAATCCGTATATTAGCTGAAAGATAGGGGAAAGTAGTGGTTAGCGATGGGCAATACTTTGAATGACCTGCGTCTGACCATTTGTTATAAATGAAGTTTTCATTTTTATGGACACTTACTCACACATTCTATTGGGCTATGATAATATTATATACATATATATATATATGCAGTTTTCATAAATGCTAGCATTGGTATTATTTAATTGTTGGTATTGGTATTTAATTATTGGTATTGTTTAATTGGTATTATTTTTATATTATAGATTACAGCAATATAAAAATTAAAATTTGTATACATACCAATGCTTAAACACTCAAACTAAACATATTTTGTGGCACTTAATTATTTATTATAATCAATTATCATAATACATTAGATGGCAATGAAAAATATATGGTAATTAAGTGTTTTAAATAATATTTCGTAAGATCTACAATTTTTACTTTTCCTTCTCTTTGTCTGAAAATACTTAAGTTTGCTAAAAATAATGGTGGTAAGTGGAAGTTGTGAGATGCACACACCGCACCAGATTTAGAAAAACAAATATGTCTAAATAAAACAAAGGGAGGCCTTTTCTTTAGAACATACTCCCAACCAGAGAGTAAATCATAAGTCACTTCACATACTATTTTATGTTTATATTTATTGATTCTTAGAGATTAGTTAAATTTAATGTACTTTCCGGAATTGAATCATATTATTGTCTGTCTTATAAACTAAAATATATACATAATCTGAATCTCATATAATAAATAGTCATAAAATAAGATTCTATGATCCTATGCCAGTGCTGCTTTTTCCACCCCTTAAAACTGAAAGAGCACAATTGTGAAGAAATCGAACCGTCTTGAAATATTAATAATCCGTAACAACACCAAGGAATGTAGTTTGAATAATATTTTGACGAAAAATAATATAAAAAAAAAATTTAGTTTGTAAAATAATGTTTTTTTTATTACCTTGAAGAGGTTTGAATAAAATTAAGTAATTAGTATTAGTTTTAATAATAAGTATTAATTTTATTTCGGATTGTAATAGCCAACATATGATTGGAAAAAAAAGACAGTTTGGGAGACATATGGCGGAACCTCGCGAGTGTAGAGGGACGCTAATTAATTGTGTGAGTAATACTTCAATTTTACAGTGTGTAGCGGATTTTCCTTTTTCTCCACTTGGAATATGTGATTGTCAGAGAAGTGTGCCGCTTGATTTTACAAGTTGGTAAATAAACATTTTGACAGCTTGAGGTGGACAGGGTAGATTCTGACGACTCTAGCTCGAATAAATTTCGGCTTCCTCAGATAACTCAATGTGCCAATTGGACAAAGTTCACCATTGACATTTTGTAAATATGTATATAGAAGTTTTTTATCTTGTCAATTTTTTTTTTTACAAAAATATGTAATTGTTGTATTGTATAGTTGTAGGTTAATGATTAGTTCTATAATCTATTCATATTCTTTTCTTTGATAATTAAAGTTTATTGTATTTTCTTTGTTTTCTTATAAATCTAATTTCTTGTTCATAATTTTTATATCCTTTAACAGTTATTTAAGTCAATAGAAATAAGTAAATTCATCATCAGTATTAATAATAGACAGTTTTATTTTCTTCTGTGTTTGTTTTCAGGTTTTATGTATATATTATATTGTTTTTTAAAAGGTTTAAGGAATTGTAAAACTATATTCCAGGGATTAGGGAAAATCAATATTAACCAAGTAAGAAGGTTCGATAGGTTACAAGGTTAATTAACATATGTTTTTAAACCCATAGGTTCTGAGTTCGTAGCTCGCTCTGCATCCAAATATTTCTTTTTTAATTAAATAGTGTGGTGATTGTTAGATAATCAGTAATATTTAATTGACTCATCATTATTATTCTTTCTATTTTTTTTTTTGTGAACCTTAATGTTTTCACTGAGCGTCTGGCAAGATTGTTATGGAAACAATTTCTCTAAATTAAAGACCGTAACAATATTAATTTTTAAAAAACTGTTAGAATAAAGTTCATTTAAAATTAACAAGAAAAATAGTAATTGTTGATGAACAATTTTATTAAAATAAGTGGAAAACAGCAAAAATAAAATTATAAGTATTTTTCTGAATTTCATAACACAAATTTCCTTTTAGCGAATTGTGTTTAAGTTGTTGAGTTTAGAAAAATATGTTTTCTATAAAAGCTGCAGTAAATTGTGTGTGCTTTAGTATTTAATTTAAACATTTGAGCTGCCTCGCCTATAAAAACAGATAATTAGTTAAAAACAGAAAAAGATCCATGTTTTTTCTGCGAATTTTCAAAACTTTACCCATTTTGAAAGCTCAATAGATTGCTTCCTGTTGGGTTTAGAAAAAAATGTCAGATAATTTTAAGCTGTTGAACATAACCATTTATATCTAGTCACTTTAAAAAGTTGATACTTGAAATAAACCAAAAAAATTTCGAAATTTCAATAGTTTTTGGAGCACTGCAGCAAACTCACAAGGCTTTCAAGGGCGGAAACTTGGACTTTATATTCACTACATACCTAACAATATAAAATTATTTTTTGAATTACCCGACCTTTTGCAAGCTAGACCTGTTCTGAGAACAGATACCCAACTGTTAGTTCAGCAATGTATTGTGTTGTCTGGAAAATTTAACAAGCTTAAACTCGGCCAGAAACGCCAATCAAGTCTGGGGCGAGAGCAGCATTGATGAGGGCTCTGTTCAACGGTGGTTCAGAAAAATTCTTGGAAGGACTTCCTCTATGGATGACGATGTTCTGCGTGCTTTGGTGGAAG